GGCCAAAAGCTGACAAACTTAAAGATTTCACCGAACCAATCATTTGCGTTACATTTGACATGCATAATAAGAAAATCCCCAGGCTGTGGCTATATACGATCCGTGGTCCCACAGAACTGTGGCGAAGTGTTAAGCATATCTTTATGCAATCTGTTCACGACCTCACTGAGAAGAAGTCAACTCATCAATGGAAGCTCTCTGTGCCTTTATAAATCTTCAGGTGAAGAGACCGAAAAAACCCATGCAATTGCAGACTGATAGAGTTAATTCCCATACTACCCAAGGTACCAGATCGCCTGATTGCAGGTGTTGTTTGGAATTGCATGAGAGGAAGTAACGTTGTTTATCCTACCCAACACAGCTTCAGAACCGGACGGTCATGTACCACATACCTGATGACCATTTGGTATGATAGATGGGAGAAAAAGCAACCAGACCACATTCTCTTTCCGAACTTAGTCAAAACAATCGATAGCACTTCACACTACACCATGCTCAATAAATTTGCAGAAGTGGTTGTCACAGCATATCCAGAGGACAGAGAATTTGATACCAAGGTAAACAGAATTAGGTTGGCGTGGTGAAATGAGGAAACAGAAGTTTCTCACGAAGCGATCCTAAAGTAGCTCCTACTTTTACAATTCGTAGATGATTTCATAGCTCTACTCTCGTCATCTATCCTCCTATTTGCCGACGACATCAAAATGTGGGGGATGATATGTAGGGAAAAGGATCCTAAGATACTCCAACGCTGTCTGCTGCAGTTGGATTCCTAGTCAGCTGAGAATGGTTTGAGCCATAGCCTGAGGAAGTGCAGGGTTATGTATCTTCACATACTGAAAGTGATGAAAATCAGCTATACCCTCAATAAGTGTACAACCACCAGGATGTCCACAGAGAAGTATCTACGATTAAGCTTCTCTGAGACACAAGATATTAGTGCCAACTGTGTGAGAATGGCTGCAAAGACCAACACTATCATGCACTTCGTAAGCAAGCATCTTGGAGCTCTAACCCTTGAACCATTCCTCATAGTATTTAAAACCTACCTTAGACCACACTTAAATCAGTTCAACACAACATCCTCTCCTAAATTAAAGAGAGATGCAAGTGATCTGCAGAAAGTGCAGGGAAGGGTGGCAAAATCAGTTATTGAACTAACAGAAGGGCAAAATGCCCAACGCCTTAGACAATTCAATTTATTCACCTTAAACTATCAAAGGAAAGAAGTGACCAAATAACAGCCTAAAAGATCATCCACCACGCAGACCACCTAAATGTGAGAACATTATTGGTCTTAATTGACAGTCTGGCGGGAATCATATTCTCATACTTAATCAGAGGGCAAAGACGAGAGTAAGATCTAGCTTCGCTATGGATGCTCTACCAAAAGAAGTAGCCACAGCTACATCAGTTGATTCCTTCAAACCACTCCTCGGTACGTATTTGGGCTTAACCAGCTTATCACCAACATTTGCAGGTAGAAATTTAGGGTATGCCCATCCATCCGTCTATTCTCAAACCATAGTATCTGCAATAAGATCCATCCCTTCTCCACATCATTGCTAGCAAGTGCTTTTCAATCCTCTTTTCTAATTCTTTACTTGTCATACTTCTTGCACTAGTTCTTAAATAACGCTTAATGCTACTTACTTTCAGGTGCTTACGAAAGCAGAAACAGAAAGGTTACTTGATCTTATCATCAGCTCCATTGCTCCTCAAATAAACTCACCTACAATTTGCAAAGGAAAACCTTTAAATAGACAATCACTACCTCCAATGCTAGAAGGTAGTACACTAAAAAGACTTCTTCGACCACAGAAAGAACATAACCGAACAAAATGAATCGAGCCTCAAGACTTAGAAGCGAGAGTTTTAAAGCTACAAGTTTCTCCTATTGCACTATTGATGTTGAATGCAAAAACTTGAACAGTTTTTATCCTTTGAAAAGCTACTCCCACGAAGTCACGAAACGTTAGAAGTTTATTTTTCTGCCTCACAACGATTTACAAATATATTTCCCTTATAAATTTCAAACTGTTTGATAAAAAAACATTGTGGCGTCTCTGAAATCATGATGAGATTGTTGTACCGTGGTGATTGGAAACTGAACCACGCAGTTATGACAGAGAAGACTGCAGCCATAAGCAATGTTGGCCCTCATTATTCGCCTACAGGATCGAATTGTATATGGAGATTGGTCACGAGTGTGTCGTTGATGCAGTTATTAATGCCTAATTGCCGAGAACTTATACAAGTCTGTTGGTCACTTTGGCTAATTAGATGATCTTCATGACAGTGTCGTTCACTTTAATTCGTCGCTAGATTGTGTGATTCAGTCGGTAGTTGCCCTAGACTTTGCGCTGGTTGACTGAAAATACCGATGCATGTCTGCAGTCATGTTGAAGGTGTTTTGATGGTGGTGATTCGATCCTTCATAAAACTGGGGTGACGGTGAACAATTTACGTGTAAAATATACTTACCACAATCGAATACTTGAGGAAGTTGATAAGACACACCCATTAGTCACCACTCGGTAGTCAATGTATCAGTCTACTCCTTGGTTCTAAGTGCTGGTCAAATTCTGTTGATCACTGCTTTTAACAAAGCTATTAACTGAATTGATGCAAAGTGCGGCGCACTGTAATTTGTGTCCATATGGTTGAAGTGAGTCACTATGCAGTCATGGACCTAGGATTTTACGCCTCCTGACACTATCCAGCAAGGTTTATCTACAATTATAAGGAATGTGTTGTAGCGCTGGTCATTCAGATTTATATCTTAAGGTGATGACCTTGGAAATTTCAGTTAAAAGCTACGCTTACCAACTATGTCCACCTGCCAGTCTGGAATATGTACACGAATTTGTTGCCAGTGATCAGAAGATGTCTCCGTTTTTATTCGTAATTACTAAGCGCTGATGAAAGTCTGTCAGTCATGTTTATGATGTGATCAACTTTTGAATCAACGCAGTATGTGGTGCACTATACTTCAACGACGGGATAATACAGGCAACAACACTAAGCACCATATTTTTGCTTAAAATGTTTCGAATTAATCAGCAGGCATCTGTGAGTACTATCAAAGGTAAAGCCAACACTTAGGAATCAGTCGCTGAAATGTTATGTTTGACTTTAGACACTAAACTGATTATAAGATGACAGAATAACTGATGAAATAATTTATCCTGTTATTAGTAATTAGCCTGGAAACTTCAAGATTAGTAAATGTTAAAGCTATTAAATTCAACAGGTGAAATAACAGTAGAGTCACGCAACTCGTATTAAGCCACAACCAGCAGATTTTGATGATCCCGAAAGTAATTTATGGTAACGGCGTCAGTTGTTGTGAGAGAAATCCTATTTTGGTAATACAAAGAGTCCTAGACAAAAACTGAAATCTACTGACTATTGATTTAATGTTGTAACACATGAATCACTGGCAATAAAAATATACACTTACATGGAATTTTTTTTATTAGTCTGTGAGGGGAACTTTAAAAACACTTTTAGATTTGAATTGTTACTGCCTCTGTGAAAAGCTTGTTGATATAACCAGTGTGTCTATGTGAGTTTAAAAAAAATTGACTACAAGCCTAATAAACTTCATGAAGAACGAGTGAAATCTTATTCGAAAGTTTAGGCCAACTCATTCTATCACTAAATACTGCTAGGTGTTTGTAATGGATTCTAGTTAGTTACAACTATTGTAAGTCAATAAGCTTCAGTTATCTCTTGCTTTCTCAAGACTATCTTCAATTTTATTCAAATCAAAATTTACGGACTGGACAAAAAGGTTTACAGAAAAAGTAAAAGGACATCTAAAATGTACTTAACTTCCTAGCTTGCAATATTTCCACTGGAATTGTGATGTTTAAATTCACCTTAAAACGTGTGATTAAACAATATGGTAAAATGTTAAAGAAAGAAACATTATGGTGAACAAACCATGCAGCCTGTGACTAGTAGATTGTGCTATACATTGAAATTAAGGCTGATTGGCCGATGTTCTTTACATAATAATGGTCAAAAATTGTAGATTCTCCGTGTCACAGCTCATTATTGATCATTGACACTGATTTGTTCACCTTTTACTGTTTAAATTCTAAGTATCTGACTGTTCCTCACTGTTTATAATTTCCTTTTATATTCCTTTTGTCTATCTGAATATCTTTTTGTTTCTGTTCACTTACTCTTTTGGTTAGAGTATAATGGTACTTTGTTTATGTGTTCTATACCTAGGTTTTGTAGTTGACACCATCCATTCAGATTTCAGATTTGTTGTTTGAGGATAGGAGGCTGGGAGCCTATACTAATCCTTTTCCAGTAGGTTTCTGTGCTTGTCCAATCCCGTTTTGAACGGGTCAGTTGATGATGCGGACACCACTTCTTCTGGAAGTCGGTTCCAGGCGTTGATTACTCGACGCGAGAACCAGTACTCTGCGGAGACTGTGTTCGTTCTTTGCTTTTTGTAGTCTCCTACTGTGTCCTCTGAGGTGTTCCGATCTGGTGGGAAGGAAAAAAGAAGATAGATAAGGTCCAAAGTCCTGTATAACATGATTTGGTCTCCCCTCTGTCTGCTGTAGGACAAAGTGAAGAGGTTCAGCTCCTTAAGTCGGTCTTCATAGGTGAGGCCGGCCATCGCAGGGATCATAAGAGTGGTTGCCCTCATCAGAGAAACCTGTCTACAACTTCAAAGAAACTTAAGCTTCATAAGAACTGTAAACTTTTACTGCTATAAAATACTGTTGATCAGGTAGTATCAAACTAAATACCCCCATGAGGTTCAGCTATTTGAACAGGTAACTAGGTTGGAAAAGCCTTCGAAAGATGGGATGATATCAATTATACTTCACTTACTGATTCAAGTACCCAGTGTTGCAACCTCACACAATGAACTGCTCTTACCCGTACAACTGTTAATAATGCTATAAACGAAGAACACGTAGAAAAAACCCTATTTACTAATATAGAAGTCAACCTTGGGAAAAACTAGTCAATTAAACAGAACAGTAATTTTGAAGTCTTTCATTTTTAAAACGTTCAAGTCGCTCAATATTCCGTAAACGTTCATAAGCCATTACTTTCGATTCATATGTAATATGTAAATTATAAATCATTAAAATAAACCAAATAATTACGATGAATATACTCCATAGAATCAGAAATATTAAACCAATTAGGATATCATTCTTATTAGGCCATTGGTAATGTGATTTTTCAATTTTTAATCGATATGATAATTTTGGTTGAGGATGCCATTTACTTAGTTGACGTGTATCTCTTGTATAACAGCTATATACATCGGAATCATTCAATCTTACATTAAGTAATATTAGATCACATGCATCATCAATATAAATTCTTTCATGCAATAGTGTGCGTCGATAAAATGTGTGATTTTTTGTCCGCCATATTATTGGATAATAACTACCATCACAGATAACCTTTTCAACAGTACGACAGTCTAACTTTAGAAACGGTTCATGTTCAATAGATAGCTTTTCAAGTTGCATAAATCTGACATCATTATAACCTAAAATATTTAACTTTATTTTAGATAAATCACGTTGTAAAGCTAAATTGACAAGTTCTATTGCATTAGATTCACCACAACTTAAATCATATGTAACTGAAATGTGTAGATTAAATATTTTCAATGGTTGAAATGTATCTTTTAAATTTGGAAGTTGTTTAAAAAAATTATACTGACAAGGTATGTATAAATCATATTCACTCATAAACAACATAAAACCTAATTCAACAGCTAAATTTTTAGCCGATATTTCAAGGAAAGGCCATATTCCTTTTTGTTCCTGATCATCATAAAATTGTCCAAATTCACTGAATGCATTCAATAAAACAAAATACAATAACTGTATCTCATCTGTGTATATATTGACATGATCAGGTACCTTACGTGGTATATGTATGTAGCAGACACGATTTTGTCTTACTTTTATGGGACCACAATCTTCATCATGTGTTAAATTATGAAATGATTTTGAAGTGATTTGTAATAAATTAAATTTCTGATCATGAAAATCTTCAGAGAGATTAATTTCTTTTTCAACCTTATTTTGTAATTGTTCTAGTTGATGATATGTAGTAGCTGATTTATCCATTCGACGTATGATCGGTATTTCCACTTTATGCGATACGTCCTCATATGAATTAATATAATCTACATGATACCATATAAAGTTCAAAGGGTGATCTGATTCATTTAAAGATCGACACACATATGTACCTGAATCGACAAAAGGATTAAACTTGTTAAATACTAATTCATTTGTAGAATTTATAATACAAGGATCATTAGTTTGTAAATCACTTTTGATTGGTTCAAGTAAATTTTCATCAAGTATCCATTTACTGCTATAAGTGGTTTTTTCATTTAGAACAAATATTGTCTTGTCAACATTACGAGTAATTCGAAACCATTGGAATTGCGTTAAATTCTCATCTGGGCATACATGACAAACCAATTCTAAACTTGTATACTGATCACGTTTAACAAGTTTAACTATATGGCGTTGTTTAGCTAAATCAGACTGTGTTGAATAACATTTCTCTGGTTCAGCATAATAGGTTACATTTTTATCACCAGTGCAAATATTCAAGTTACAGTGGACTCTTGACACATAATGTAGGCATAACACTAATAACTGGGATTTGAGTAGAATAGAGTGGAACAATTTCATCAAGATGAATACATATTATATTTAAGGAGTGACCTTGATTTTAAAATTATCAGTCATGTCTATAAGTGCAGTTATTAGCCATAATTTACACCTCTGACTTCAAAAAAAGTATTACACAATCTTACTGATAAAATACTACATATTGTTCCGAAGAAATTGTACAAAAAATAATGACGTCTGTACTTCATGAAATGTTTCGTAATAAATCACTCATTTTAATAATTTTACTGATTTTTCAAGTAAAATATAGTGGTAAGTTTCTTCAAATAGTTAGTTTTTCATAACTGTAAGCAAATTTTATCATTGACGATTAATAGGAGAGTTGATGATAATTAACTTTGTCCAACTGACAGAAATTTCCTTACTGCAGTAACAAGCTTAAAATGAAATAGTTTTGCTTCACGTTATTATTCAATCATTTCTCCTAGGTTGTAAAAATGAATCTTAATTGCAGGTATAGTAGTTATGCCTCACGAAGAAACATATAAACTTTGGGACTAACAGCAAAAGTGTAATATTTTGAGTTATAAGACTGTAGTTCACCTTCCTGGTACCAAAATATAACTAGGGCTAAAATAAATAGTTTAAATTAAATTAACTAAATAAATCTCTAGCTTGCCTCCGGATGCTTAGGGTGTTTTAAGTTTTGTTTTAACGAGCATGCATCCGAGCAGGCTTGGACGCCGTTTTGCGCTCCATTGTGCTGATTACCACACACGTACTCCGAGTCCCTAGTTCAGCCTTACAAGCCAGATAAGTTGATTAAACTTTTCCCTCATTCATTATTATTACATTTGGTTTAATTAAATACATAGCTCCTTCAAATACATTGCGTATCAGTTCATTTGATTTGTGTTTTGTTATCGGTGCTTACACGTTAGGTAAAGTACTGGTTAAGCAGGTACTAGAGCACATCAAGTTAAGTAGGGTTGATCAAACCTTACGGAATTGTAACACGCTCCCCTACAAGACGTTGAAGCAGTACACAAGGCGCAGATGAATAGGAATAGAATGCAATTCAAGTAAACATGAAGAATGTGACGAATGATAGTAAAAATGAAGATCAGAAAAGCATTGACAATAAAATCATCATGAGCGAATACTACTGAGTCCGTCAGTTTAAGCCATGTTACGTTATTTCATGACCCTTAGTAACAGGCTATACAACAGTTTGGAGCATTGTGATCTAAAAAAGTAAATCAACATCTAAGATACCACAAAATTCATTTATTGATCAGTAAAGAGTAACCGATTTTATGTTGTTGAGTTCAAAGTGCTGTTCAAATTCTGCAGATCACTTTCAAATGGGTTCAGCAAGCTAGAAGACTCTGTATCACGGTGCGTTTATAACTATGTTCAATAATTGGAGGTATTCAGCAGGAAGACTTTATTGACTTCGATTTCACGCTTGCTGGTACTCATCAGCAAGGTGTACTGGAACTTCTAGGGGAATAAAGTCTCCTAAAATGTCCGAATCTGCGTAAGCCAGCCCCGGTGGAATTACACAAATACTTATTTTATGTCATGTGAAATCTAGGTCAACATCTTACTTGTACTTCGCAAAATATGTACAGTTATGAAACAATTAGACAAGCCTTGGTGAGCTTTTTTGAACATACTTCAACAAGTGTACACCCTAATCGAGCAAATAGCATCTGCAACCTACTTATTCGTCTTTGATTTGATAATGGTCAGTGATTTTTACATGAAAATTCCCTTTAAAAATACTGATCATGTATACTCAGTCAGTTGTCTAATACCTGAAATTCAGGTAAGGAATCGATGTTTAACCACCATTTTCGCAACTGATTTTATGATTACTCCTTCATTTATTGTAATTATTGTTGCTATCCTTACGTAAACTGAACTTCACATTCATTGTATTTCCTTCCTGCTAGATAAGCTTCCAATTATTCAAAGTAATCAATTACTGTTTTGATAGCATTTTAGATCATTGGTCTAAGTCGTTTAAAGAAATGTAGATTAATGTAAATAGATGTGGTATAGCATAAATTGGTGTTAGATAAGTTTACAAGATATAACATAGTGAAACAGCATTGTTTATTGAATGACATTTTGAGTAAAATTTAATAGTCGTAATCTTATCAAGGTGATCATACAGCCTTTTTGTTTGGTTTATGTAGCTCTGTTACCTTCCATTTTTTGATTTCGCTAATGGTAAAATTTCCCAAATACCCAAGATTGGCGCTGAGTCACTTTTATCGTATGTATTTCATGTTGATTCTATGAACAGAGATTCAATGATAAACTCGTTGTTTAAACTACTATATTAGTCTCTAGGGTCGTTAGTCAATCTTACTTTAATGTATTATTGTGTGATGTCGCATGTATATCTATGGCTGAAATTTCTTTTTGATTACTCACCTTATTTTGCCAATCTAGACTTAGGTTTGTGCGTCCTGCCAACCTGAATGACTCCGATCGGCTAGTGTAACGTCTGTATTCGACCTAGCAGTAACTGTATGGCACTTAGTAACTAATTTATGTCCCAATGGTTAAATGAAATCCCTAAATACGAAAATGTGTTCCTGAGTCAATTTACAGGTCTAAATATCACTCCAATCCGAGCGCTTTTAGGAATTCTTTGTGGGTTTTTTGATGTGCCTTCCCTAAATGACAACTTAACAATAGTAAACTTAGAGAATGTATTAGTCATATTGCTGTTGTTGCTCACATTACTATTTCTCTTTTAGGAATTGTCCTGGTGTGAACTTGACAGACGCAGAGGCCAATGACTAATTATTCGAACTTGTTATGTACCCATGAATACGAGACCAAGAAAGAACACAACAGCGTGGTCGAATGGAATAGTATATTTGGGTGGTTATGCCAAGGTACCGATACGTTCCAACTAACTGGCTAGAGGGTTGATTACGAGTAATGCAACGTAACACGACAGCATGCCAAATGGCAAGGATGTTTGACCAGGTGCCTTCAGCTTAACGAGTCCGGTAAAACTACCAAGGTCAGCATCAGTGTTGAATTTCGTCAAACCCTAGGCTATTTATTGATTCTGGCGAAGTGTGTGACGCTACACTCTTTTTCTTATGACAGCATTTGGATTTTTGAATAAATTTCTAAGAATATTTAATAAATAGTAATGTTTTGCCTAGATATTACTGTTTGCCTTATCAAGTAGTAAGCATCTTCATTATGGTAAATAAATTGATGTTTGGAGATGCTAGGTGATATTTATCATAAATGAAAGCAATAGGGCACAGCAACATGTGTCTTAGCTTTATCTAGATTATAACTTCCTTGTTCTTAACTCTCCGTATCACTTATCTTTTACTTATGGTGTACTATCACCCTTGATAACAAAATATTCAAAATAATTAGTCTCCTTGATAAATTTAAGCAACATGATGAGAAAAAATAATACTCATTTCTGTATTATCCCTCATCCAAACCTACAATTCAGTAAGCTTATGGTAACTGTCGTTACTTACACCAAAACATAAAACAGTCAAATCATGTTATTTATTTCCCCCCCACCCTAGCGTTTCATTTCTATGTAACCACCTAAATCCTTTTTCATAGTGTTAATAGTATCACAAATATTAGGTGCACAGTGAAACGTTGACGTTAGATACAGATTACATGTGTATGTATCTCACCAGGTTTGCAATCAAATAACTCATATAATTCACAAAGGAAGTCTCATAAGAGCGTGACAGGGAGGACTGCTATCAACATATTCCATTACTAACTTGAGGTTGATATTCATCACTGACTGACATCGTCTGGAGAACCATTGGGAGCATAGGACACCTGTTCCGTTTTACTATGGGTACTCCTCAGCAGTGCTCGAGCATGAGGTCTCCAGGGATAGAATCCAGTACATTTAGGTTCCGCGACCAACCTTAAATAAATACAGGCCCTAAAAACCTTAAAATTGAAATTCCATCATATTTTTGTTAGAATAAGGCGGGAATGAGTAATTATGGTGAGAACAATACAACATCAAACCAATCCAGGGAGTTTGCTGTTGTTGATGAAAAGGTGATAAAAGTAAGGCTGATGATGAAATGGAGTTAACATATCATTCACATTTGATCAAACTATTAGGTTTTGTAGGACTTCAGCACGTAGTCTTTCTTCGTAGGACACAAAACAGTGCACAAACTTGGTTCCATGAAAGTTAACTTGTTGTCACATTTCTGTCAAGTGTGATGCAACCACCAATTCATTTTCTAGTTTCTTAATGTCTTCTGGGTTTTATGTAATCTACTTTGGACATAATCTTTGTTACCTTGTCGTTATGCTTACCAACCTTTAGGTTTTCATACCTGTACTGCGTTCCCTACAGTTTCTCTTATCTTTTAAATGCGTTTCTGTCGATCTTCATTCGGTAAGACCTCTTTAACTTTAATGAAGGTAAAGCATAGAGTATTCGTCGCACGAAAATAAATATTCAGAAGTATTACTCCTTCGAAAGTTTCATCATAATACAGAAAAAACAGTGTTAATCCAGCTAATCAGAGGGTTCTTCCTCTAACCGTAGCTTCAATTTTTAAAAATTCTTTTTACAAAACTTAGAGTAGTTGTTTGTTTCAAGATTTCAATCAAATGACGTTAACTCATCAGTTTCATTCGCTTCCATTTTAACAGGGCGACTAGTTCTGTGGACAGGATTTGAAGCAACAGTCAGTTTCATTATTGACAGATATGCAGTTTGATCACAAAATGAACTCGGATCGTTGGGATTTATTATTTGACTGGAAAATCAATCCAAACTACCACATTTAATGATAACTAACATATCTTCTGCGTTTCTATGACCAAATCTTCAGAGGCACCAAATTTGTCGCCATTCCATTGGTCTCTAGTGTATGTATGATGGAACTGCTAACTATTAGATGCTTGAGATCCAGTGGCTATAGTACCTCTGACATTTTACTTTCCATTCAACCCATGCAGTGACCATCAAAAAGTAATGATATGGGTTTTGATATATATATATATATATATATATATATATATATATATATATATATATATATATAAAGTCATTTCACATATGACTTAAAGAAAGTACTTAAGAGTTGATTGCCAAACGCTGACTGACAAAATCAATCGCTAAAGAAACTTCAAAGCACAAAGAAAATATAAAAATAAAATAAACTTAT